TAATTAAGTGGTAAAATTAGTGAATAATGGTAGGACCGGGGGTGACGGGTGCGCCGCCATGGAATGTGTCCAGGGAAAATTACCCGTGAGTTAATCCTCACTCATCGGTCCCAGATCTTAATGGAGTGACCTCTAATGTGTATAATAATTATGAGACATTAAATCGTCTTGTGAACTGTAATGTAATTAATGATAATAACACTAAGTTAAGAGAATGCGTGAAGTGAAATAAGTCGCCTTGCTCCGAGTGAACACGTTAGACCACGTTGTTCCCGTCCCAAGGACAGTGAAGTTTTTATGGAGTCACGACTTATAAACCAGGACAAACCAACGGATACCTCGTCCTGCTGGAATAAGAACAGTGTCGGTGTAGCAAGACTTCGAAATGAGATGGTGAATGGAAGAAATAAGGAGCATCAATCACCCACAGTTAAGTAACCTTTCTAGTTATAGCAGACTGATACTGGCCAGTTAGGTATGTTGTAATTGGATAGGTTATGGGTGATCCAGCTACATCAAGTGACCACCAGAGAATATCTGGTAAGTGGTGAGATTATGTACAAGTGTTTTTTCTTGATGGATATATCCACGTGTAACCTACCCCTCCTCCTTCATTCAGTTACACTAATATAATCTATACAGTCCACAATTAATTAGTAGCGCCGTACTTGTGGGTGCTATCCAATCTATACTGGTCTCGGATAGATATGGATAAGATTGTGAGGTCGAACGCCCACCTGCAGTGACCAGGGGTGGTGAAGTTTTCTCACATGTCTACACGGGGTGACTATGGTAAACAATATAGTGTTGTCTCCCAGTGAGATTACTTGTATGTATATAATGTTGAGGTACATACAGGTAACACCCTAAAAAATTTTCCATAACACTCGTTACACTGGGCCATAACTCAGGCCACCACTGACTCATCACGCTCGTAACACTGGACCATTGAAATCCCAGTACGACTCTGTGTTTAGTGAACCACTAATCGGTCTGAGGATTGACGACCCAAATGATTTCTTCATGAATGAGCCTCAAAACTCCATAAATGTATGCCAGATTTCCGACATTACCCTAACTCCGATAGATTTCGAAAAAGCCATTGACAACATGCCCATGCACTCAGCCCCGGGCCCAGACTCGTGGAACTCTGTTTTCATTAAGAACTACAAGAAATCCCTCTCGTGTGCCCTAAGTACACTATGGAGGAGGAGCTTGGACATGGGTGAAATTCCACAGTCACTTAAAACAACGGATATAGCCCCACTCCATAAAGGTGGCAGCAAAGCATTAGCTAAGAACTATAGACCAATAAAACCATACCCCGGCCGGGATTGAACCCGCGGTCAGAGAGTCTCAAAACTCCAGACCGTCGCGTTAGCCACTAGTGGCTAACGCGACGGTCTGGAGTTTAGGGACTCTCTGACCGCAGGTTCAATCCCGGCCGGGGTATGGTTTGTTTGCAATCGTGTCATTACGATTTCGTGAGTCATATAGACCAATAGCTCTGACGTCCCATATAATAAAAATCTTTGAAAGAGTGCTAAGAAGCAGGATTGCAAATCACCTGGATTCTCAAAATCTGCACAATCCAGGGCAACATGGGTTCAGGGCAGGTCGCTCCTGCCTCTAACAACTACTGGATCACTATGATATGGCCTTGGATGCACTGGAAGAAAATCAGAATGCAGATGTAATAAACACAGACTTTGCAAAAGCATTTGACAAATGCGATCATGGCGTAACAGTCCATAAAATACGTGCTAAAGGAATAACTTGGAAAGTGGGGAGATGGATCTTCAACTTCCTAACAAATCGAACACAAAGAGTAGTGGTCAACAGAGTTAAATCGGAGGCTACCATAGTGAAGAGCTCTGTTCCACAAGGCACAGTACTCGCCCCATCTTATTCCTTATCCTCATATCAGACATAGACAGAGATATACATCACAGCACCGTATCAGTTACTAAAAACAACAGACATAGCCCCACTCCACAAAGGGGGCAGTAAAGCAACAGCAAAGAACTACAGACCAATAGCACTAACATCCCATATCATAAAAATCTTTGAAAGGGTCCTAAGAAGCAAGATCACCACGCATCTAGAAACCCATCAGTTACACAACCCAGGGCAACATGGGTTTAGAACAGGTCGCTCCTGTCTGTCTCAACTATTGGACCACTACGACAAGGTCCTAAATGCACTAGAAGACAAAAAGAATGCAGATGTAATATATACAGACTTTGCAAAAGCCTTCGACAAGTGTGACCATGGCGTAATAGCGCACAAAATGCGTGCTAAAGGAATAACAGGAAAAGTCGGTCGATGGATCTATAATTTCCTCACTAACAGAACACAGAGAGTAGTCGTCAACAGAGTAAAGTCCGAGGCAGCTACGGTGAAAAGCTCTGTTCCACAAGGCACAGTACTCGCTCCCATCTTGTTCCTCATCCTTATATCCGACATAGACAAGGATGTCAGCCACAGCACCGTGTCTTCCTTTGCAGATGACACCCGAATCTGCATGACAGTGTCTTCCATTGCAGACACTGCAAAGCTCCAGGCAGACATCAACCAAATCTTTCAGTGGGCTGCAGAAAACAATATGAAGTTCAACGATGAGAAATTTCAATTACTCAGATATGGTAAACATGAGGAAATTAAATCTTCATCAGAGTACAAAACAAATTCTGGCCACAAAATAGAGCGAAACACCAACGTCAAAGACCTGGGAGTGATCATGTCGGAGGATCTCACCTTCAAGGACCATAACATTGTATCAATCGCATCTGCTAGAAAAATGACAGGATGGATAATGAGAACCTTCAAAACTAGGGAGGCCAAGCCCATGATGACACTCTTCAGGTCACTTGTTCTATCTAGGCTGGAATATTGCTGCACACTAACAGCACCTTTCAGGCAGGTGAAATTGCCGACCTAGAAAATGTACAGAGAACTTTCACGGCGCGCATAACGGAGATAAAACACCTCAATTATTGGGAGCGCTTGAGGTTCCTAAACCTGTATTCCCTGGAACGCAGGAGGGAGAGATACATGATTATATACACCTGGAAAATCCTAGAGGGACTAGTACCGAACTTGCACACGAAAATCACCCACTACGAAAGCAAAAGACTTGGCAGACGATGCACCATCCCCCCAATGAAAAGCAGGGGTGTCACTAGCACGTTAAGAGACCATACAATAAGTGTCAGGGGCCCGAGACTGTTCAACTGCCTCCCAGCACACATAAGGGGGATTACCAACAGACCCCTGGCAGTCTTCAAGCTGGCACTGGACAAGCACCTAAAGTCAGTTCCGGATCAGCCGGGCTGTGGCTCGTATGTTGGTTTGCGTGCAGCCAGCAGCAACAGCCTGGTTGATCAGGCTCTGATCCACCAGGAGGCCTGGTCTCAGACCGGGCCGCGGGGGCGTTGACCCCCGGAACTCTCTCCAGGTAAACTCCAGGTAAACTAGGATCTGCATGAGGCTGTCATCTGCTGAGGACGCGGTTAACCTCCAAGAAGATATAAACAAAGTTTTCCAGTGGGCAACGGTAAACAATATGATGTTCAATGAGGACAAATTCCAACTACTCCGTTATGGAAAACTGGAGGAGATAATAACTAGAACAGAGTATACTACAGACTCTGGCCATACAATAGAGTGGAAAAATAATGTAAGGGACCTGGGAGTAGTAATGCCTGAGGATCTCACTTTCAAGGATCACAACAGTGCCACGATCGCACGTGCAAAGAAAATGATAGGATGGATAATGAGAACGTTCAAAACGAGAGATGCCAAGCCAGTGATGATCCTTTTCAAATCACTTGTACTGCTGTACATTAACATCTCCATTCAAAGCAGGTGAAATCGCAGATCTAGAGAGTGTACAGAGATCCTTTACTGCACGTATAAGTTCTGTCAAGCACCTTAACTACTGGGAATGCTTGGAAGCACTTGACTTGTACTCGTTGGAACGCAGGAGGGAGAGATATATCATAATCTACACTTGGAAAATCTTGGAAGGAATGGTCCCAAATCTGCACAAAGAAATCACTCCCTACGAAAGTAAAAGACTGGACAGGCGATGCAAAATGCCCCCAATGAAAAGTAGGGGCGCCATTGGTACACTAAGGGGAAACACCATAAGTGTCCGGGGCCCAAGACTGTTCAACAGCCTCCCATCAAGCATTAGGGGAATTGCCAATAAACCCCTGGCTGCCTTCAAGAGAGAGCTGGGCAGATATCTAAAGTCAGTGCCGGATCAGCCGGGCTGTGGCTCGTACGTTGGACTGCGTGCGGCCAGCAGTAACAGGCCCTGATCCATCGGGAGGCCTGGTCAAGGACCGGGCCGCGGGGGCGTTGATCCCCGGAATAACCTCCAGGTAACCTCCAGGTAACCGTAACTCAGGCCACCACTGACTCATCACGCTCGTAACACTGGACCATAACTCAGGCCACCACTGACTCATCACGCTCGTTACACTGGACCATAACTCAGGCCACCAGTGACTCATCACGCTCGTTACACTGGACCATAACTCAGGCCACCACTGACTCATCACGCTCGTTACACTGGACCATAACTCAGGCCACCACTGACTCATCACGCTCGTTACACTGGACCATAACTCAGGCCAACACTGACTCATCACGCTCGAAACACTGGACCATAACTCAGGCCACCACTGACTCATCACGCTCGTTACACTGGACCATAACTCAGGCCCAGTGACTCATCATGCTCGTAACCACATTAAAAAATCTGTAAATAGTTCATTACCACTATATATATATCTTGTTTAGCTCCAAAACTTTCCAGTCCACCCCCTGGATCCATTATGTGCTTTTGTAATGTTGAGGTACAGTCCTGGGAACCCAATATGTGCCTCTGCAATGTGAGGTACAGCCCTGGACCCATTATGTGCTTCACCAATCTTTCGACTACTGCCCACGGCGGGTAGGGGGCTTAATAATTATATTAAACTGTGACTAACCTTGAAGCAGACAGGCCACATCCATGGTCTGTGAGAGTTGTAGCGTTGCTCACCCACTGGCTTGAGTCTGGAGGTTGACCCAGGGCTAACTCGGTGAGACTCTACCAGACGAGACACAAATCCACTTCGCAAGTGAGTGAATGTTTTTTGTTCTTCACTGACGATCACCAGCATAACACAGCAGCATAACACAGCAGCATAACACAGCAGCACAGCACAACAAAATTAAACTATCATGGTTATTGTTATTATCATCACTATCGTCATAATTATCAACAATACAAATAAGAAAGGGATTGCATATAATTATATATATATATTTTATAATTATATATATATATATATATTAATATATAATATATAAAATATTATATATGTGTGTGTGTGTGTGTGTGTGTGTGTGTGTGTGTGTGTGCAAAAACCACTCTGAAAGAATAGAGAAATTCCAAGCACTTTCGTGACTACTCACATTATCAAGGAACTATGAAAGTAAAGCATCCAAGGAAGCTATATAAGGGGTCTGGCCAAAACCTCACTATCAGATCCCACAACGGTTAAAAAACCCGACGCGCGCCGGCCCAACTGGACAGGTCCTTTGCACAACTCACAACAAACTAAATTTTACCCAAGAAAATTTAAAAATTATTATTTGTCCCGTGTATTATTAAATTCTTTCCCAAATTCTATTAATTATAATTATAGCGTGTCAAGCGTGTCGCGTGCCTCATTGTGCTCCCGGGGTTTTCTCGTGTTTTCACGGTCGCTCTTACGTGTTTGAAATTTAATTTGTGTCATCAATCCTAACGATACTCCCCCTAGCGCCGGGAAAACCAATCTTGGCGGAAAACTTTTTTATACTGGGGGCCAAAAAAAAGGAAAATTAGTGGGGAAACTACCCCGGTTTACTGAAGGGGGGAAATTTCATAGGCCGGGCCCCGTGTAAAAAAAAAAAATTTTAAAAAATTGAATTTTTCGTGCCCAGGGAAAAAAAAGCCCTCCCTGATAATTTGAGTATACATAGGGTATATGTTTTTTTCAGTGGCTCCCTAGAAAATTTTGATGAAAAAGGGCCCTAAAGGGGTCTTTTTTGAAAAAGGGGGTTTTTGTAAATAAAGTGATAACCCTTTTGAGGCAGGTGCCAGAAGTCCCCAAAGAAATTTTAAACCACAGTGGTCAGTTTTTTTAAATAACCCCTCCGGGTTTGGCTGTGTACCGCTTATAATCTAGTGATACCAGTGAATAGGGGAAAATACAGTGTTGTAGTGGGGAAACTAACCAGTATTATTTTTGGTACTTAATGGGTGGGTGATTTTCATTGGGGTTTTTCTTTTTTCTTGAAATCCCCAGACGTATACTGTAAATTTTTCATATTCCGGGTTTTTTTTCCCCAAGCGGTCGCAATTTTACAAACCGAGAAGCAATTATTACTACACAAAAACCCGCCCTTCCCCCAAAAAATTTCCCCCAGTCAAAAAAGGGGAAAAATATAGCTTTATTGTGGTGGGAAAAAAAAAAAAAAAAAAGAAAACTAGTTTACAGCGATTGATAAAAAAGGGTTGGGTCGACCTTTTTCGTTTTTGTAGGAGTTGCCAACAGTCCCCCGGGTTTCTTAAACAGAAGTTAAATTTTTGGGTATCAATCAAACACATATACCGGGGAAGAAATTTCCATTTAGATCCTTCATGTGTTAGCTAAAATCCCGACCGTATGTTTTAAATAAGGGGACCCCTGATCAGATCAAATCGACTGGCCCCAAAACCCTTGACTGGTCCAAACCCCTTTGCGGGTCCGAAACCCCTTGACGGGTTTCAAACGTTTTGGGTTGGAAAATTTAAAGCAAAACGTAAACGGAGGGGGTTTAGGGGGCCCTTATAAACAAAAACCCAAAAAAAAACCCGGGAAAAGTGCACGGTAGCTGCCCAAAATATCCCAAAAAACATTTTAAAAACAGAAATACAAATAGTAGAGCTTCATTTAAGGGGGTTAAATTAATAGAATATTTAAAAGGTTGCAGTAGAATTGCAGTAAATCAACCTTTTAAATCATTATGAAGGGTGTGGGGGTAGTCCCGGGGGTCAGTCAAACAAAAAGGGCTTCCCCCATGGGGGAAATTGTATTTTTTTTTGGAAAAATTTGGGGTCACGCCCCCTTTTGCAGATTTCCAAGAACAGCTCAAGCAGTGTTTTAAAACAGGGAAGGTTTTTGGGTTTTCCCCAAAAGAATTTAAAACTGTGGACTAAAAACACAAGGGTATTAAAAAAGGGGACAAAAATCAAAGCGGCCTTTTATAGAAAAACCGGGAAGGTTTTACGGAGATAAAACACCTTTAAATTTTTGGGACACTTGGGGGGGGGGGGGGGGGGGTTCCCAAAACCCGTATTTTCCCCGGGAAAAAAGGGGAGAGGGTTTCATGTTTTTATACACCTGGGGAAAAACCTAGGGGCTAGTACCGAACTTGCACACGAAAAAAAAATCACTACGAAAACAAAGATTGCAGAAAGTTTCACCCCTCCCCCCCAAGAAAAAAAGGGGTTCCTAGCACGTTTTTGGCCCCTACAATAAGTGTCAGGGGCCCAGAGTTTCAACGGGCCCCCCAAACACACATAAGGGGGGTTACCAAAAAGACCCCCGGCACTTCAAGCTTGGGACTGGGCAAGCAACCCAAAGTCATTTTGGGCAGCCGGCTGGGCCCCGTACGTTGGTTTTTTCGTCAGCCACCGCAACAGCCCGGGTTTATCAGGCTCTGATCCACCAGGGGCCAGTACAGACCGGGCCGCGGGGGGGGGGTTGACCCCCGGAACTCTCTCCAGGTAAACTCCAGGTAAACAACAGATGGGAACAAAAAAGTCGGGGACTGAATGGTACTGCCCTTGATACTGGCCATGTAGTCAGAAACTGTAAGGCTGGAGATGAAGTCCTGGTAGTCAGTAAATGTGGGGCTGATAGTGCTGTCCTGGGAGACAGTAATGGTGAAGCTGGAGGTGCTGTCCTGGGAGACAGTAATGGGGGAAGCTGGAGGTGCTGTCCTGGGAGACAGTAATGGTGAAGCTGGAGATGCTGTCCTGGGAGACAGTAATGGTGCAGCTGAAGATTTTGTCCAGGTAGTCGGGAATTATACGCAGGAAGGAATACATATAAATGACCTCATAGGGGACAGGAGCCATAGTAGGGAAACAAGTGTAGTCAAAGATAAGATAAAACCAATATTGCAAACTAGAAATACCGCAGGAAATAGCAAACAAGAGGACTCCACTAGCAATAGTGAGGATATATTACCAAAAACAACTGGTGGGAGCCCCATTGTTGGTGCTAGGGAGGATAGAAGTAAGACAGGGAAACATGCACCAACAGGGAATACAGTCACAGAAACCCAAGGCAAACGGAAACCAAGCCTGTGCACTACTATGCACTTGGTATCTGCTGGCATGGGAAATCTGGAAAAACAGATGGGACGTGCAACTATGACCACCCTAGAAAATGCCATGCCCATATGACAACAGGAAAATGCAAACTCCCTTCCTGTAAGCTTTTTCACCCTGAACTGTGTACCTCTTCAGTACAGGAAAGACTGTGCTATAACTTAAATTGCCAGGCATACCATCTAAAGGGGACAAAAAGATACAAAACATCCAGGCCATGGGAAAACCTGGGTAGCCACAGCCACTCAAGAGGGAGAGGTTTTTTAGTGGCAGGAAGGAAAAAAAAACTGGCAAGAAATGGCAGAAATCGTACACCAAATCCAGTCATTCCTGGAGTGGAACCACAGTCGATGGCCTCCACTCCAAACCAACAGATACAGATACTAATGCCGGAAAAAAAATCCCCCCCCAGTACCAACAACATCACCAGTCCGATAACATTCTTCTTTGCAGATATACAGGGTCTAAAACCAGCAACAAACAACAAAATACCTTTCATCCGTGGACTGCTTGCAGAGGCAAAGGCAATGTTCGCGGCTTTCACTGAGACCCACATAATGGATCACTTGGACAACGAAATATGGATCCCAGGTTACAACCTATAAAGATGTGACAGAGTGAACAGGCAAAAGGGGGGGGGGGATGGTTGGCCTGTACATTGCAGAGTCGCTTGTTTGCACAGAACTGCTTAATGCCTCAAATGATGTAGTGGAAGTTTTAGCAGTAAAGGTCGAGAACCAAAACCTAATCATTGTGGTAGTCTACAAGCCTCCGGATGCAACATCCCAGCTATTCCAGGAACAGCTGTTAAAAATTGACCACTGTCTGGAAAAGCTTCCAGCTCCTGCACCCAACATCTTGCTCCTGGGGGATTTCAACTTAAGGCACCTAAAATGGAGGAATATAGCAAATAATATTGTTTGCAGTAAAACACCAGGAGGCAGCTCTGATGAAAACTCATCACTCACACGAGCTTTTAAATCTCTGCACAAAATTCAATTTAAACCAGCAAATAATAGAGCCTACTAGGCTGGAGAATACACTAGACCACATCTTCACTAACAATGATGATCTGATAAGAAATGTCACCATATCAAAAACAATTTACTCAGACCACAACAAAATTTGAGGTTCAGACATGTTTGCGTGGAGCCCCAGACCGCTTTAAGGGATTGGTCACGAGGGAGCATTAAACCAAAATTCAACTTCAAAAAAAAAACAAAAAGGGGGGAAACCAAAAAAACCAAAAATCCAAACCCGATTTTAAGCTGGGAAGATATCCCTAAGCACAAGCCCCCAACTTATCCCTAGAACAGTTAAACTTGGGGGCCCATTTCGGGGTTTGCAAAAGGGTTTTATTCCTCAAGAAAAAGGAGGGGGGTAGTTTGAAAAATGGGAAAGGGGACGGCGCCCCCTTTTCGGGCGAGGGAAAAAGAAAACAGAGGGGCCCCTAAAGAGGTCAATTAAAATCAAAATTGCGTAGGGGGGGACATGGTCGGGAAAAAATAGAAAGCATCAAACTTAAGCAAAAGGAACCCTTTTTGGGGTTTTCGGGAATCGCGGGAAGAACTAAAAGCCAAAAATGAAATAAAAAAAAAAAACCCCAAAAAGTTTTTTTCTTCTCCCTTTCCCAAAATCAAAATCGAAAACAACGTCCAGTATTGGGCCCCTATTTAAAACAAGAGGGGGCCCCCACGAGGACGGGAAAGGAAAATGAGTGAGCTACTCAAGCCCCAAATATGACTCTTTTTTTAG